GGCACCCAATTGATTTAGGAGGAATTTTCTCGTTCGAGTTTTTGAAGACAATTCACCTTGATTATCAAACATAAACTTTGTGGGGCTTTTTTTAGAGCCCACCTGTTTGAACCTGGTCTACAACTGCAATTAAGCTGAGGGAAGAAATTAAAGTGATGGCTTTTTGCCAGGCAGTCTGGCTTGTTTGTTTTTAATTTGCTTTTTTGCTGTTGTTACACAACAGGTTGGGTGTGCTAAGCCTGAGTTGGCCTAAGTTAGTTTCTTTCTCTTTCTCTTTTTCTTTCTCTTTTTCTTTCTCTTTTTCTCTATTTTTCTTTCTCCTTTTCCTTCTCTTTCTCTTTTTCTCTATTATTTTTCTTTCTCTTTCTCCTTTTCCTTCTCTTTCTCTTTTTCTCTATTATTTTTCTTTCTCTTTCTCCTTTTCCTTCTCTTTCTCTTTTTCTCTATTATTTTTCTTTCTCTTTCTCCTTTTCCTTCTCTTTCTCTTTTTCTCTATTATTTTTCTTTCTCTTTCTCCTTTTCCTTCTCTTTCTCTTTTTCTCTATTATTTTTCTTTCTCTTTCTCTTTTTCCTTCTCTTTTTCTCTATTTTTCTTTCTCTTTCTCTTTCTCCTTTTCCTTCTCTTTCTCTTTTTCTCTATTATTTTTCTTTCTCTTTTTCCTTTTCCTTCTCTTTCTCTTTTTCTCTATTATTTTTCTTTCTCTTTTTCTTTCTCTTTTTCTTTCTCTTTCTATTTCTCTTTTTCCTTTTTCTTTCTCTTTCTCTCTCTCCTGGGGACACGTTTTAGTGGTGGCCTTGGCAGTGCTGGATTTACACACATGGAAAGGGAGGGATTTTCATGGGAAAAGCAACTGGTACATCCTTGATGCAGCTCTAAAGAGAGGAACAAGAGAGGAGCCAGAAAACCAAGGGAAAAACCATCTCACTGCCACATCTGCTGTGGACATGAGCAGAGCAAGATCCCTGAGGAAAGACAAGGAAATAATCTGTAAATGAGCCTGTGGGAGAAGAGAGAGTAGCAAAGGCAGTGATGTAATTCAGCTTTTTCTCTTGAAAATGTCTGATCTAAAAATAGCCCATGTTAGTCTTTCAACAGTGACACATCGTGAGGTTTGCTCTTTATGGAAAAAAAATAAATTCTAGAGATGTAATGGCTCCTCTCTGCCCTGTGCCTGTCATCTAAAGGGTAAGATATCTTACATAAAAGAGGATTTTATTCCCCAGCATTAAACCAGCCTCTCTGAGGCTGAATTTTATCAGTCAGGAAGGTGGAGACCCATTACCAAGGGCTGCATGGAATAAGGTCTCCCAAAAGCCAGGAAGGGCTGTTTTCCAAATGTGCCACTGTCAAAGAGGATCAACTGGATCATCAGCAATCAAACTGCACCTCTTTTAAACTTACCCACTTTAGGCAGCACTAGCAAGCCCAGGCAGTGGAAAAATGTCATTACTTAATTTTAAGGACAGGACAGTGCATCCAGCTCTGTTCCAATGCCACAGGGGATCCCTGGCTGCAAGACATTACTGCCATGCACTCAAAATGCTGCACAAAAAGGTCTTTTCTCCAGGTAAAACCAAAAATTCCAGGAGTGATAGGAACTGCTCAAATAAGCCAATATCCCTCAGCAAGAAGAAAAGAATTGATCTGCTACCCAGGAAGAGAAAAAGTTGCCAAAACCCAGCTGCTGCCCATGTGCGTGGAGAAATAAAACCATAAAATAAATAAATTAATTTAATTATAGAATTATTAAGGTTGGACAGACCTAGAGGATGATCAGATCCGGCTGCTAACCATGATCCACCTCAGCTTTGTGACAAGCCACCACCCCTTTAAGGGAGGGATTAGGGTCAGAGACTGCCACAAAATTGATGTTTGCCAGTGCTGGGAGAAGAGGGGATGGATTTGGATCTGCAATTTCTGCTGCCACAGGCCTGAGTTCAGCACAGCTTTCTCTCTGTACAGCAATAGCTCTGCAAAGTCAGGCTGGAAATCCCCTCCTGAGGGATTTCCTTTCCTTTTCTGCCGGGCAGAAACCACGTGCACTGTTTGTGAGCAGCCTTCCCTTGTCCTGTGAAGCCTTGCAGCCCTTGTGCTGTGCTCCTGCCTCTGCCACGAGTTCAGTGCAACCATCCAGAAGTGATCCCCTGGTGCACAATCCCCAAAGGAAATCTTTGTTTTACAGGCAGGTGGTTGAGATGCATCAGATCTGTCCCCTCAAACCTCAGGTTTTGTGTGCTTGAAATGGCTCCTGAGGTACTAAAAAGTCTTTTTTCCCAGCCCCACTACCAAGGTTCTTTGGCTTTGCTTTTCAAGGTTGTTTATTTTCTCTTATTTATGACATTCTTTCTCTGACCTGCTGAGGTCTGTCCAGCAGTTCAGTTCATGGCACACTGACCGCCCTTGGGGTGGTGTTGGCTTTTTATACTAAAAACTACCTGTACTTTATTTACAATAATTTTCCAATATCTATCACCTATGTTAGACAGTCTGTCTCTACTCTAAACCAATCCAGAAGTGTCACCATCACAGCAGAAGATGGAGGACAAGAAGAAGAAGAAGAAGGACAGGACATGCCCAGACTCCTCCATCTTGCCTCTTGAACCCCCATTCTAAATCCCCAAAATTCTACATTTTCACCCTGTGATAAATTCACTGTCATTCTACTCAAACTCTTGTGGCTTTTAAATTCTCACACAACATTGGTAATTGTTTCCATGGACTAAAATCAAAGGCACAGGTGTTTGTGACTCCATGCCAAGGTCTCTGAGCCCCCTGCCAGGGTCTCGAGTCCTCCAGGGCAGCCAGAGCAATGTCCTGGGCTCTGACAGTGTCTCACCTGGGAGCTGCTGAATTAGGGCCAAACACCCACAAAGTGAAACCATGAAGGAATTCACTCACACACAGATCCCTGCAAACACACCAAGGAGGCTTTGGGGAAAAGGAAGGAGGGGTGGCAGTGTCACACAGCCACATGCACACAAAATCAGGGAGAAACCAAAGCTGTGGTGATGTATTGTATTTGCTGGGATCCCCGACAAAGGGAGGAATGATGAATCTGACCCCATGTTCTCAGAAGGCTAATTTATTATTTTATGATACTATATTATATTAAAGAATACGATACTAAACTATACTAAAGAATACAGAAAGGATACTTACAGAATGCTAAAAAGATAATAATGAAAACTCCTGACTCTTTCCAGAGTCCCAACACAGCTTGGCCCTGATTGGCCAAAGAGTGAAAACAACTCACAGCAGAATCCAATGAAACAATCACCTGTGGGTAAACAATCTCCAAACACATTCCACATGAGCACAACACAGGAGAAGCAAATGAGATAAGAATTGTTTTCCTTTTTCTCTGAGGCTTTTCAGCTTCCCAGGAGAAAAATCCTGGGTGAAGGGGTTTTCCAAAAAATGTGAATGGCAAGGTGATGCCATTGGGATGAGGCTGCTGCATCCCCACCTTTGACAGCCCAGCCCTGTGCCACCTTCCCTCCTTCAGGCAGCCCCTGAAGTCACATACAGAATATTCTGAGTTGGGAAGGAGTTCACCTCCCAGATGGTTATCAGGAGGTGATAACCCCAACACACTGATGGGTTTGGGGGTGAGGGTGGGGACGGTTCCTCCCAAAACACATGGCATTGAAAAAAACTCTTTCCACACTTCTCCTTTTAACCAGTGTTTTGTAGCAACTGCTTTCAGCAGGAGAGGTGTAGAGGGATAAATGAGGTCTTGTCACTGGTGTTCTAAATTAATATTGTTGCTCTAAATCAAACATTCTACATGTGCGGGACACCAGGGAAGTGCCACTAACCAGGGAGTGAGAGCAAACTCTTGCCCCAGAAAATGCAGGGTGTCACCCACTGAAAGCAGCAGGGCAATTGCTGAGCCAACACCTGGAGGGTGTGTAATGATGCAGTGGGTGCTAAGCGTCAGAAATTTCCCTTGAGTGTCAGAAATTTCCATTTGTATTTATTTCTTTGCTAAGGGAACTGTTCCCATTACCTGAGCTGCAGTGAAATCTCCACACAGCAAGTTACTGTGTTTAATTATTCATTTCCTGAAGGTAAACAATTCACCTTCCCTTTTCAAATCTCTCCCCTTCCACAGCAATAAAATCTCTGCATGCTCTTCTGTGCTTTCCCTGCTTCTCCTGCCTATCCTTTATTTTAAAAATGCATATCCCAGTCCTTCTTCTCCTAGAGAGGAGCAACTTCTTGTAGACTTTTCACCATAGAATTCATTCCATAAGGAGTTCAGGTGCTGCACAAAGCAACCCCAAAGATACACCCGGAGCAAGGGTCACTGGTAATTTGGTGGAAATTTCTTTCCTGTGGGAATGTGCTGTAGTTCCTAACACAGGGCACCACTGTGTGGATTTGTGGATTTTTGGGGTTTTTTTTTGTTTGGTTGGTTTTTTTTCTTTGTTAAGGTTGGGATTAAATGTGTGAGATGATATTTCTTGTTTGGACTCAGATGTTTATTAGTTCTTATTACATTACAGTCTCATAAAGTGTGAGTTTAATGGTAATTCTTTCTAATGAGTTAAAACTGGAGCTGTATCTTTTTTTATAAGGTTTTTTTTTAAGTATAAACTGTCTAATTAAGAAATGACACAAGTTATTTTTGCTTCTAACTTAATAACTAACTACTCATGGTCTGTAATGCAGATTTTTTTATCTAATTGCACAATATTACTTATGGTCTTGAAGAAGAAGGTGAAGAAGGACCAGCTTCTGCTTTAAAACCTCCATCTTGCTTTATATATATATTACTGCATTCTAAAACCTACACCTCTAAGTTTTCCACCCTGTGATATCACACACTTCTATTCAAACTCCACACCCACAATCCTAGTTCTGTCATTCCATTTTGGAAGCTTCTCCACAGCCTCAGGTCAAATGCAGTGTTCTCTTGGGGGTCAGCACAGAAAGTCTGAAATTCTCAGTAACCAGGGTTCCAACAGTTCACCACTGCTCATCTCTTCTCTTCCAGGTGGGCTGCAAGGCCATGATGGTTTTCTTCCAGTACTGTGTCATGGCCAACTTCTTCTGGCTGCTGGTGGAGGGGTTGTACCTTCACACCCTGCTGGTCATCTCCTTCTTCTCGGAGAGGAAATACTTCTGGTGGTACATCCTGATCGGCTGGGGTACGCTCCAGGAGGAGATCCTGACTGGTGATTTTAGCAGGAATTTAGCACAGATACCTGGGCACTCAGGTGGGGCAGAGATGTTGTCCTGGTTTAGGGCAAATTTGGGAGAAAACCTCCAAAAGGGGGCCCCTCCAGAAAGCAAACCCACATGGCCCCTCTCCCCAACTGGTTTGGGAAGGATTCCTCAGGGAGAAGTGGAAAGAACCTGTTTATTTAACAGGCACAGCACCCCCAGCACACAAAATGAACAATACCAAGTGACAACACCCTTTCTTCACTCTGAAAAAAGATGACAAATTCAGAAAGTGTCTCTGGGGGTGGTCACTCTGTTCTCAGTCCCTCCTGTGCTGGGGCAGCTGCTGCAGCCACAAGGTGCAAACTCTCGGTGTTCCCAGGTCCCAGTCCAGAGCAGGCTCAAGTAGGTCCAAATAAAGGGAAAGGAGAAACAGTCCAGGGAAAATTCAGACTGCCTAGCTAAACTAACTAATGAGTAGAAGCACAAGCAGGAGCAACAGCAAAGCAAAAGGAAGAACAAAAACCAGCCAAAGCAGCACCATGTACTGCCCTGTCTCTGTGTCCCGCCAGCCGTGGGGGAGCGGCTGATAACAAAACCAAAACAAAACTTTCACCCTTCAGAGCCAGTCTTGAAGGCACAGAATATAATATCCAGCATAAACAGAACACACAAATGGAGATACAAGCATCATAATGTTACCCTAGGACAGATGTTGTAGACAGCACCCAGCCCCCCTAAGTCCCGAGAAGGATTTGGGGTGGTTGGTGGATGAGAGGCTGGACGTGAGTTCAAAACGTGCCCAAAAACCCAACTGAGTCCTGGGCTGCATCAAAAGAATCGTGACCAGCAGGCTGAGGGAGGTGATTCTGTCCCTCTGCTCTCCTCATCTGAGATCCACCTGCAGAGATGCTGCCAGCCATGGGGTTTCCCAAAATAAAAAGGTTGTAGAGCAACTGGAGCAACTCCAGAGGAGGTCATGGAGCTGCTCCAGGGCTGGGGCCAGGCTGGGAATGTTCACCTGGAGAAGGGAAAGATCCAGAGAGAGCTCAGAGCCCCTTCCAGAGCCTAAAGGGGCTCCAGGAGAGCTGGAGAGGAACTTGGGACAAGGGATGGAGGGACAGGACACAGGGAATGGCTTCAAACTGACAGAGAGTAGATTTCGATTGGATATTGGGAAGGAATTCCTTGATCCTGACTGGAACCTGAATTTGGTATCATACATTGACCTTAAATTGTAAGGATGGATCCCAGCAAAGCAGAGCTCCTGGACTGAACCAGACACTGAATTCAGGCCAGCCAGCTGCCCTGAGATCATCCCATCACCTGTGTGCTAGTGCTGATAACCTTCTGCTCACTGCATTGGTGATTTCTCCAGCCTTAGTGCAAATCCAGTCTCAAACACATCAAATAAAATTAAATTAATGTAATATAATGAAAATTAAAAATATTTTTAAAAAAGTAAAGCAAAATAAAATTAGAAAAATGGTAAGGAAGAGAGAATTGAGCTCTTCACAAAATAACTCACAGCTGAATTGCTGACTTATGCAAATTAATCCTACCAGATCAACTTCTTTTATTTCTCCAAAAAGGAAACAGATTTTTTTTCCCCTTTCATGCCATTTAGTTGAAGATTTATGTTTAAGTAAGCTAATAACTTTCTACTGCCTGCTCTCAATGGCTGAAACTGAGAAATAATAAGAGCAGGGAAGAATCTTGAGGAGAAAAAGTAAAATAAAACTGAGCCATGTCCAGGGACATGCCAGGACTTGGGATTTTCTCAATTATCCATGGATAATGGAGTAACTTCCATTAAAAGTGGCAGGAGCTACGCTCAGCTTCACACTGCAAAGCAGAGATGCTTCTCCATGCTCTGGGCAGAAGGAAGGACCATGGTTTCTCAGGTCAGACCTTTGTTAAACTCACCTTGTGCTCCAGATATGCTTTATTTCAGCACTGGAGAGCTGGCAAGTTTTAAAGAAAAATGCATGGAGGTAATGATTTAAATCAAAGGAAATTTCTTGCACTCCTACTGTGTCCCGAGGTTGCTTGGGTGCAGAAGGGCAATTCCAGAACATGGCAAGTGCTTGAGGGATATTTTGGCCTTTCAGTCGTCCATCATTTGCAAGAGCATCAGGGATGGATCTGGAATGGATTACACATGAATTAATAATTTGGATGCACTAATTACATTAATTTTTACTGGGTTTAGTACCATTGCACTTGGAAATCACTGGTAATAAAATGTACACAATCTGTGAGGAACACAGAGCAAAGAGACATGTCCTTCCTGGAGTATTTCCAACCTAAATCCAGTCAAAGATAAGAGAGAGAAAAGAGCCAGCACAAGGATGGGACAAAACTACCCAAACGTGGCAGATCATGGAGTGAAGAGCAGAGGCAGCTTCACCTGTGAATTTGGCACTCCAGGTTCCCTTACAGGGCAAAAGGGTCCAGGGATATTTCATTTTTATTGTTCTAAATCAAACATTTAACATAGCTGGATGACCTGTGTGTGAGAAACACACAATTCTGCCCCTTAATGCTGAGGAGAGCCTGTGGTGACCTCCTTAGGTACAGGTGTCCACACTGTAGGTGGCTCAAGTGACCCCTATTCCTTGCATTTCACCCCTGGCAGGTTTTTCCAGGCACTTCAACGGGAATTTCAGCGTGCTGGGAGCAGTTCCAGAGAGCTGATCTTGCATGGCCACAGGGAGGGAAAGGCAACATTGCCAGTTTGGCACGTGAGGGTTGAAAATGTGAAGTATTTCCCCACCCCTGAGGGAAAGCATCCCCTCAGTCACTCAGGAGAGGTGGGGAGTGAGGGAGAACAGCCCTGAGAAATGAGGCAGATTTTAAATAATCTGGCAATGAAATCAGGGAACCATTTGATCCTGGTTTCTGACAGCAACACTATCTCTTCTCTCCTCAGGTGCCCCCTCCGTGTTCATCACTGCCTGGACAATTGTCAGGATTTACTTTTTTGATGTTGGGTAAGCCTGTGCACTCAGTTATAATTCCTCTATAAGGAAATTGTATCAGGTGTATTTTCCTTATATCAGTTATATTTTCCTTTATAAATCCTTTTTATGGCCAAGGAAAGGCCTGCAGCCTTAGCAACCCAAAAGCCAGCAGCAATGGCGCCTCTCCCCTGCCACCAGGAACCAGGAAACGCTCCAAGGTCTCCCTGAAAAGTCATTTGAAGTCAATCCCTCCCCCTCTTTACTTCCCAGTGCCTTGGTCAGGATATCTGCAGGGAATTTGTGAGCAGATCCTGATGGCTGCATTTGGCCCTGTGCTCAGAACAGAGCTTTGCACCCTGCAGAATTGACCCTAAACATGCAGCAGGGAAATTATAAACACACCCAATTCTCTCCGAAAGGAAAAGGCTAAAAATTCTTTTTTTTTTTTATTTTCTCAAGCAGATTTTTAAGGATCTATTCTTCATCTCTTTTAACCTAGCAGCAGCCTTTGATATTTTGTATAAGAAGCAGATAGAATGCAGCCAAGAAAATGAGGCAGACACCAGAGTTATCCAAGGATATGTGCAAGTAAAGAGGATTTGATCCTGAAATGCTCATTCTTGCTTTTATTCAAGCAGTCAGACTGCAGTAATTGGAAAGGGGTTTATAGGAAAACACCCCGGAGAGAGGCAGAAACAAGTGCTTATTCTGTCCTCAGTGTGCATTCCCTCACTTCTTGCATTTGCATCCTGGAGTTAAATCCATTTTCTCCCATGCATTCTTCCCCTCCAAATGTGTCCTGATTTGCCCCCTTTTTCACTACAAGAAGAAGCTCAGATTTCTCACTGCATTTTTGATTTATAGTCACGCCAGCACATTTCCTGAGGGCAACTCACTTCCTTTATGGTTTCACTCTATCTGCATAAAACTGACCTTATTTACTCTGTTAATAAATAGCCTCTACAATGAGTCAGAGACAGGAGCATTTAACCATTCTGGAAGCCAGTTTTTCTTACTATATATTCCCACTAAGCTCCAAAAAATCTTAACAAAAATACAGAATTCTTTGCAATTTCTGGGGGCTTTAAAGCCCTACATTTTTGTGCTGAGTAAAACAGAGCATGAATTTACAGAATATTTTAATACCTAACACAGATTTATTTTTTTTCATTACCTGCAGAGAAAAATTACAGGAAATTAATCCAGATTAAATAAACCCTAATTAGGTAAGATTGGTTAAATAACACTAAGACTTTATTTAAAAATTCTAACTCCAAGTGCAAGTGACCTTCATTCAGGCTGTCTCAATTTATTTCAAAAATGAAGTGCACTAGACAAAATTAGGGCTACTTTAATTCTAAATGAAAGGGCAGCACACACCTAACTGGAAGCATCTGGATGTGAGAAATTTCTCCATCTCCCTGTAGAGTTAGGGCAGATTTAGTCAGTGTAGTCCACAGAGTGCAATTTTTATCACCCTAAAGTTGATGCTTAAAATAGGTCTCAGGAACTGTGCCCTAAAAGTTCCTCTCTTCATCTCCTACTGCCTTCACGGCCAACATTTGGAATTAGAGGAGCTGAATCTGGGTGAAATCGTCTGCAGCAGGCTCCACTAATCTATTCTTACATGAAAGCACCCTAATTTCCATGAATGCTTTCCTAAAAAATGCACCTTCTGTCACCTGGCTGTGCAGATAAAGGTGTCCCAAGCAATATCAGTCATTTCCACACCAGTCCTTTCCTTCGTTTCCTCCTTGGCTTTAAAATGCAGTCCCAGGTGAGGGGTGGTGTGTGCAGGCAGCTCTGGCTTCAGGATGAAATAAATCCCACCCTGGACCCTTTTTAACTTTTCTAACTCCATCCACAGCCCAGGTGCAGCTTGCTGGATTTATGGGACTAACCCCACCATGGGCTGGTATTTTTTTCAGAAGGATGTGATGGGTTTTGGGTTTTTTTCTGTTGGTGCCAATTGCTCTGTGCTTATCAAACCCCCTCCATCCAGGATGGTGGAGAGCACTGGAGCCCTGGTGGATCTTTTCATAGATTTTGATAGATTTTCATGGTTTCCATAGAATTTCCCTGCAGCAGAGCTCAGTGTCGGAGAAATTAAGAAAAATCACCATCCTTCCCCACATTCACCCTGCCTAACATCCTCCAGCCCATTCCATGGCCAAGGGGAAAAAAATTGACATTACATCTGGGATATTTGGTACCTACCAGTGCTCACAGCCAATGTAAAGCAAGTTTTGGCCATTCCCAGTCCATATACATGAGGTTTAGTTCTCTTCTTACAACCCAACCTAGCAAATCTGAGCTTTTAGGGAAAACTGAGAAAGTTACAGACCTGCTTGCTTGCTGTGCTTGATGCTTTAAGTCTGGTTTTGTTTCTTTTTAGGTGCTGGGAGGAAATAGTGGAATCCCCATTCTGGTGGATCATTAAAACTCCTATTTTGGTGTCTATTTTGGTAAAGTATCAGCACGTTCTGCTGGCTGCAAAGCCATCTTTAGTTCTAACTGGGGAGGGGTGAAGGGGTGTTGAGAAATGTCCTGTGAATGTCCATGGAAAATGCACTGCCAGGTAAAATCCCACTGTACATTGAACATTTGCTTTAAGATGAGGAAACTCCTCCTGTAGATAAGCACCCTCACCTGCAGCATTGACCACAGGAGGAATTTCAGTGACCAGGCCACCAGGGTGGAGCTGGCTTGATGTAGCTTTGACCACCTCCATCTCCTTGGTGGGGTGGCCATGGGAGATGGAGGAATGGGGTTGGACATCCAGGAAAGGCTCATTTTGCCCCAGGAATCAGTGAATTCCATCAGATGACCCATTCTAGGAGGGGCTTTGTTTCTCTGAGCTGACCAGGATGACTTGTTCAGGTGTAGATGTCAACTCTACAAATTAACATAAGTCCTACCATGAATTTCCACTTAGATAAAAAGGGAGTAGATGAATTCCCTCAGGAATTTGCCTCTTTCAAGCAGTACAGAGTTGCATTCCAGCTGTGTATTTTTGGAGTAAGTTCTGGAGAAGTTTGGCTAATTTCCAGAAAAATCAACAGAAGTGTTTTATTTTAATTCTCTGGATATGATCAATCCTGACCATAGAAACCAGGACACTTCTCAAGAACTCTGGGTCCTTCCATCCTTGTTGAACATTGCTCTGTTGGGCATGGATCCAAGCCTTAAGATCAAATGGACTGAAGTTAAACTTAGTTTTGAGTTTTCTTAAATGAAGTCAGCGACGTGGCAAGGGAAGCAAAAAGAAAAAATTGCAACAGAAATCAAATCAAATATATGTCTTGTAAACAGAACATTTTCCTTAGACATACTTCTTATTCCATGTACATCATGACTTTTACAAGAAGATTTTTTTTTCCCGTGGCATTTATCATGTAGGGATTCCAGACTGAAAGTTTCAATAATGACATCTTGCTCTGTTTACCTCCCTGGAAAGAAATATAGTACTTAGATGACACATCTCCAAATATTTATATCATCCTGGGAAGCTATAGATAGCATTTTCCCTTTCCTGGGATAAGCTTTCAGTCAAAAAACACACCCTTTTATTCTCCTCAGATCAATGGGTCTGTATTTTCTTTTGGCCAATAAATCTTTTCCTCATTGCCAAACAGAATTTACCCAGCAGTTCCTGATTTTCCCTCAGCAGATATCCTCTAAATCTGTCCTAAAGGAAGGGCATGATAGCCACTGGCTGATGAACAGCAGCTTTCTCCAGGGGGTAATGCAGCATTTCCTCCAAATCCATGGGAATACAGCTGATATTTCAGTGTAAGGAAGAAATACAAATACAAGATCTATATGATGTTTAAGTACATGAGATATATCTTGTGTACAAGGAAAAAACACATATACAAGATCTATAAGATGTTTAAGTACATGAGATATATCTTGTGTACAAGGAAAAAACACATATACAAGATCTATAAGATCTTTAAGGTGCATGAGATACATCTTGTGCACAAGATGTTAAGCACTGGGTACACATTGATTATCTTCGATTACACTCTAGGGATAAAAAATAATCTAAATAACTTCTCCAATATCCTGATTCTTGTATCTTTTACCATGGAATTTCAAGGTTATACAAGCCCATCTATGACACTCCACTCCATGTTTGTTCTTGACCTCTCCAAGCCAACACAGTCAGAATTTAATTGCTCCATTCTTGCCTTCCTTGCAGCAGCTTGTGTGTTATCAATGATCATTAGTGTAGTTGATCTAGATAATGCTGGTTTGGGACTAATAAATTTCACTTCCCACCAAATCAGACACACAAACCATTTTTTAAGGAAATAAATACAAACAGAAACTATGATAAATTGCTCAAAATAGGTAAGAAGTGATTAAGCAATGCATCATAACCAAGAAATGCAATGGATATCCAATCAGTCATAGGCTTTGAAAAAAGAGTGTCTACTTGAGAGATGGGCTTCAGTCTGTTTTATTCATCTATTGTTGTGATAAGTGTAGGAATTGCTGGAAGACATCATATCATCTGCTTTTGCAGGGAATCAGATTGGCTGGTTTAACACAATCCCTTCCAGCTGCTGAGCCTCTAAAAACTAGAATCATTTGCACATTCACTGACCATGAAAGGATAAAGAAAGGGGTTGTGTGCCAAACTAAAGCTGAACTAAGTCCCCAGAAATCTGTCATTGCTTTTCTGTTGTCTGTGTTGCATGATTAACAGGATGACTCAACAGAGAGGACCTTGAAAGAAGCAGATTTGCATTCAACTCAGGCCATCAGGATGTTCCCATTCCTAGCTCTACACCTTTGCTAATAAATAAGGTTCACATTGCTTGAGTACATTGGTAGAGCACTGTGAGATTCTGGGGTGAAAAGAACCACCTAAAATCTGAGTATCAGCCAGACTGCTCTGGTCTAACATCCCAGGAGGGAGCATTCCCTGCTGCCTTGGTGAGGTCTGTCCCTTGCTGCACAAGAGAGAACATGGCCAACATGATGCCTTGGAGTGGCTACCTGAAACAAAGGCTAGGCAAGATTAAGAGAATAAAAGTGGGTATTTATTAAATGCCTTCAATAGGTTCACCTTGGGCAGTCAGAAGCCTCTGAGAAGGGCTACACCCAGGATGGACAAGGGTCATGAGTTTTTCATACAGTTACAAGTTTGGTCCATTTACATACCAGGGGTTATATATATGATGGGGTTTTACATATGAGGGGTTATATATGTGATGCCTTAAGCAGCTGGAACAGAGGCTAGACAGAGTTAAGGGGAATAAAGAGGATATTTACTGAAGAGCCTTCAAAGGCCACACCCTGGCAATACTGGAGCCACAGTCATGGCTAATGGAAGCAAAAGAGGGCTTGGTCACAAGAACTCATATTTTTGTAAGTTCTGCTCCATTTGCATATTGGAGTTAATTGTCCAACCAGAGCTCCAGCCCATGCAGTCCCATCCTCCTCTTCTTTCTCTCTCCAGCCCACGGGGTTTGTGCTCTTGGGGCTGAGATTTGGGTCATTTGTCCTTGGTGCCCAGCTGGAGCAGGAATTGTTTTGTCTCCCTGCTCTGTGCACAGAGCTCAGCATGCCCTGATGTGAAGCTCAGACCCACACACTAAAGCAGCACAGAACCTGAAAAAAAAAAATCTAAAACCCGAAGCATCAAATCCTCCAATCACAGCTTCAGGTAATGAAGTCATATACCCCCAGTCTGCTCACTTTTGTTTACACTTTTCAGGGCCTGAGACAGTCAGGTGTCCTTGAGTTTCAGACCCAGAGAGGAATTGTTTTATCTGAATAAAACGGGAGAACAGCAGCTGACAGGTTGTGGAGTTTTAGAGCTATACCCTAAAGCAGTACAGGATCTGAAAAAACGTAAAAGCTAAAATCCTACGGCATCGAATAGGATTGAGCAGAGGCCCACTGGAGTGGATCCTGCCCAGCCACAGCACTGAGACTTTCTCTCTGGTGATGGTGAATTATTCATTTCATCTGCCTCGAGAGATTCTCACGTTTAGGAAAGGAAACGCCAGTTTTTGACTGGGTTTGGTTTGGTTTGGTTTGGTTTGGTTTGGTTTGGTTTGGTTTGGTTTGGTTTGGTTTGCCTGGCTCACCACGCTCAGCAGCTGGCCTCATGTCACTGCCTTAAATCGGCCTTTGCTTCAGGGTGTCCCCCGCAGGCTGCAGGGTCCCAGATAGCACAGTCCTATTCGGGACAGACTTTCCAAGCTCCCAGGCAGTTCTCAGCCACAGGCAACCTTAGGAAGCTGTCCTGGTTTAGGGCAAATTTGGGAGAGAATCTCCAAAGGGGGGCCCCTCCAGAAAGCTAATCCACAGGGCCCCTCTCCCCAGCAGTTTGGGAAGGATTCCTCAGGGAGAAGTGGAAAGAACCTGCTTATTTAACAGGCAAAGCACCCCCCAGCACACAAAATGAACAATAGCAGATGACACCACTCTTTCACTGCTCTGAAAAAGATAACAAATTCAGAAAGTCTCTCTTGGGGGTGGTCGCTCTGTTCTCAGTCCCTCCTGTGCTGGGGCAGCTGCTGCAGCCATAAGGTGCAAACTCTCGGTGTTCCCAGGTCCCAGTCCAGAGCAGGTTCAAGTTGGTTCCAAAAAGGAAAGGAGAAACAGTCCAGGAAGAAATTTGGACTGTTTAGCTAAACTAGCTAATGAGCAGAAGCAAGAGCAAGAAGAAGCAAAGCAGAAGCAAGAGCAAGAGCAAAGCAAAAAAGCAAAAACCAAAAGCAGCATCATGTACTGCCCTGTGTGTCCTGCCAGCCGTGGGGGAACAGGCTGATAAGAAACCAAAACAAAACTTTCACTCTTCAGAGCCAGCCTTGAAGGCACAGAACATAATGTCCAGCATAAACAGAACACACAAATGGGGATACAAGCATCAAAACGTCATCCTAGGACACAAGCTGAAGTGAGATCAGCTCTTTAGTGATTGTCAGCTCATTGTGATTTCAGCCCTTCAGCTTGCTAGGTGCCTAGGCAGGCAGATGCAAGGAGAGAGAGGAGAAGGCCATTTGGAGTTCCAATTCTGAGAAGGGTTCCAGTGACAGCTCTTCTGCCAGAACCAGGCTAAACCAGCCCTTTATATAGGATACAGGGGGATCAGAAATGGTCCAATGGCAAGGGTTAAAGGAAAGGGAACTACAGGGTTAGAGAGAGATAAAAAACAGGGGTTCCAAAAGGCAGAAAAGGGGTCTTTCTAGCCCATTCACCATGACTTGGCATTTCCTATCTTCAGGCCTCTGCACGCCACGGGCCCCTTGCAGACCCAGGGCCTGCCACACCGCCTGGCGAGTGACCTACAGAGTTACAGAGAGATAAAAAACAGGGGTTCCAAAAGGCAGAAAAGGGGTCTTTCTAGACCATTCACCATGACTTGGCATTTCCTATCTTCAGGCCTCTGCACGCCACGGGGCCCTTGCAGACCCAGGGCCTGCTACACCACCTGGCAAGCCGCCGGGCGCCACGTGCGGCTCCTCCCGCGCGCGCTCCAGGACGTCGTGCAAAGCTGTGCTCTATGGGCTTGACATCATCATACTTGGGGTGTATGACACGAAGTCCCAAGCAGGCTGATGTCAGGCCCAAGATGCCATCATCCTGTGTCGGTTTTCCATGTGCTCCCCCGAGAAGGGGCTCTCTCTGCTCATGGCTTGTTAAACGGCAGCGCCTTCCATGGCAAAAACCATTCCAGTGAGAGGAGTTCCCCTCTAGTGATGGGCTCTTTTCCCCGGAGGAAAATGCTGATGTTTTACTCCTCTCTTCCCATCTCCACAGGTGAACTTCATCCTCTTCATCTGCATCATCCGTATCTTAGTCCAGAAGCTGCATTCCCCAGATGTTGGGCACAATGAAACCAGCCAATATTCGTAAGTCCCAGATTTTCCAACACTATCCTAAAAGTGTTTTTTTGGGAAACCTGCTTGGCTGCTTGATAATTCTTCATTGCATCTTGTTTCATGATTGTGTCTGTCTGCACTGATCAAAATCAATTAATTTTAATTGCTTAAAGCAGATGAGAAATCAGGAAATGGAGCATTTGCTAAAAGAGCTGGTCAGGTTTTATGTCAGTTTTTGGCAGGTGAGAGGGATTTCTCCTGAGATTAATGATGAAGAAATGAGAGTAATAATAATGATCATGAAGCCAAATATAATTTTTCTTTGAATATTTAATATTTATTGGATTCTGAAGGCAGAAAGCCCCTGATGGAAAACAAAAAGTTGCTCTTCACAGTATATGCTCTTATTTTCCTGACCTTCCGTTTTAAAAAAGGAGAGATCTAGAAAATTACCATTCAGTAGGATCTGTGACAAATTTTCCTCATCCTAAAAGAGATCTCTAAACAAGATTGGATTAACTCAATATATTTCTCTTCTCTGTTGAGAAGGATCACTGTCTTAGAAGTTTTACTTGACTTAATACTTTTATTCCAGGGATATGAGGTTGACCTTAACGGGGCTTTATATAATGAACAACATGCCAGAGAGATCAACATCTCTCTCAGTGGCCAAGGCTGGTCTCAGCTGCAGTATTTTAAGAGTGAAAGAAATGTCTATCTGCACAGATTTATTCTGGCTTCAATACAAATAAAATAAAAGTCCAGACCAGGTTATTTTTGACTCTTCCCACTGTTCTGGCTCCGCTTTTCAGCTGTCCTGGATATTTATTAAATGTTTCCTAGAAAAGAATTCAATAAAAGTGTCCAGTGTCTGCATGGTCACTGCTTGTAAATCCTGGTCTTCGGAGGGAGTTGTGCTTTTGGGTTCCCTGAAAAACCTCATTTCATCATCCTGCAGGATGGAAAAAGGTAACAATATGTTCCTTAAATCCTGCCCAGCCACAGCACTGAGACTTTCTCTCTGGTTTTGGTGAATTATTCATTTCATCTGCCTCGAGAGATTTTCAGATTTGTGAAAGGAAATGCCAGTTTTTGACCTTAATTTTCCTGGCAGCAGCCAAAGCCAATTACCTATTTTTCTGTCATCACAACACACCTACATTACCAGACCCTGTGCTTTCTACCACCTGCCCTTCTGGATTTCCAATTGGGAATTTTATCTTTGCACCCCAGGTTTGCAGCAGGTGCACAGATTAAATCAGCATATTTAAATAATTTCTAGTACGGAGCATTGTCCTGGCACTCCTGGCTCCTGCTCCGCTCAGCAAAAGTGCTGCCAACGTGCACCTGATGAGTTATGCCCAGATTATCTCAGAGGTCAAGAGGTCATGCTGGGCTTTGGGTTCAGGACACATTTTTCCAGTGAGGTGGAGCTGCCAGGAAAGCTCTTTTTGCCCTGTAAACAAACATAGGGCATGTTGGTAAAACACAGAGTTCCCCTCACTGACCTGCTCAACAGGGGGTTCTGCTGAAGGACAACTGATCCTGACACCCACAGATCCTCACCTTCCTTCACCACCTGGAAAGATGGCTCAGTTCCACTGGGGAATGAATCATAGAATCCCACAACATTTTGGGTTGGGAGGGACCTTGAAGCTCATCCAACGCCCTGCCATGGGTAGGGACACCTTCCTCCATCCCAGGTTGCTCAGAGCTCTTTCCAACCTGGCCCTAAAATTTTAGGAAGGCGCATGAGGTGCTTTAGGACACTTCCAATACTTGCACAGACCTGTCACACATGACACAGGACCTATGGACACTTGTCCCCTTGTACAGTGGCACCTGGCCCCCAGCCACATCTGGAAAACTCTGTTGGCTGAATTCACTGCAGTAGGTACAAGACACCACACTTTCCTAGGAAAACAAATATTAATTGTCTGAAACTGAAGGCTGGACCCCACCGAGGCGAGTTCTCAGCATAGTCCTAAGATTTTTACTTTTAGACAGAAATCTGTGGAGACTTCTGGAGTTTGACTACAGGACCCAACAGTTCTTAGCCAAAAACTGCTGCTGAAATGTTGAGGGAGCTGGAGGTGTTTAGGCTGGAGAAGAGGAGGCTCAGGGTGACCCTATTGCTCTCCACAACTCCCTGAAAGGAGGTTGGGGCCAAATGGGGATCGGGCTCTTCTCCCAGACAACAAGTGACAGGATGAGAGGAAATCGCCTCAGGTTGTGCCTGGAGATGTTCAGGTTGGACATCAGAAGGAATTCCTTCACCAGAAGGGCTGTGAAGCATTGGCAGGGGTTGCCCAGGGAGGTTGTGGGCTCCCCATCCCTGGAGGTGTCCAAGGAAGGCCTGGAGGTGGCACTCAGTGCTCTGGGCTGGGGACAAGGTGGGGATCAGGCACAGCTTGGACTTCATGGGCTGGGAGGTCTTTCCCAACCAAATTCCTCTGTGATTCTGTGTGCATTCCTCCTGCCAAATCTGAGACAAAGCTGTTTTAAACTAACAGCATCCTGGATATCTCATTTGCATTTCTCCCTCCTTCTCATGTGTATTTTATATTGTTTATTTTCTACACACACAGCCTGCTGACAGCATTGTTCAACTCCAAAAGGTCTGAGCTTAGCTGCAGGCTGGAAGTTCAGGTGTGCTGCTGACTCCCTCATTAATGCTGCAGGCAGGGAACTGGGCTTTCATGTACTGGAAGCTGTAAAAACAAGTCTCCCAAAACAGTTTTCTGGAAATGACATGTGCAAGAATGGGACAGCAATATTTCAGGCAAACAGAATTTGTCTTCTGCAACAGAAAACTTGAGCAAAATTCATCTCTCCATTCTGTCCATGTCTGTGGATCAATATTGTCATTAAATTCCTCTGAGTAACTTTTCCATTATGATACCAAGGAGCATGACTGAAATGCTGGTTCACTCTAGCCCACTCCCAAGGACAGGAGCAGGTTCATGCAGGTTAATGGACACATGTTCTCCCAAAATTACCTGTCACCAGGTGTAGCTGTCAGATAGGGGAGGTCTGGGGTGTGCTGGGAATCAGAGCAATGAGGGGTTTGAGAATCCATGGTTTCCAGCAGATTTAACCAGCTTCAGACAATACCCCAAGCAGTTCTGCCTCCTGCACAGCCAGGCTTCAGCGTCCTGGGAGAAATGACACTGGGACTGGGTGATGATCTTCCTGAGTGCAGTGTTTAGGTGGTGGAGTCTTTTAAAAATCACAGAGCCCTTGCCTCAATGCCAAAATAAAATCTAAAACTCAGTATCTGGTGAAGCTCAGTGTTGGGAGCAAGAGACTGGGGTGAGGTGTGCAGATTGGAGGAGGGAGCTTAAGTCTTGTCATTTCTGTCCTTTTCATCACCACAGTCCAGCCAGGAGGGAAAATATTGTAATTAAGGTCCCAGTGTTGTCTGCAATGATAAGATGAAATTTTCTAATCCACTGGAGGTTGCAAACAGCATCTCTGTCAATGTGGGACACAAAGGTAGCACCACATCTCCTCCTCTAGGCTGATGTTCCTCAGAGAACTCTGATTTTGGATCCCTATAAGCAGGGATGTGCTTGTTAGTGAGGGATGTAAGAAAGGCAAACTCCTGTAAAGTTCCTCATCTTCCTGCAGGCTCTCATTGTGCCTGGGATGAGCCACAGCCCCCAATCACAGCCTTAATGTTGAGCTGTCTCTGGGCCAGGCCCAGGGAGAGCTACAGAGGAGCTCTGGGAGGCACAGGATGAGCATCCTCTGCACAAAGCTGCCCCATCAGCCTCCAGTGGGCTCCTGCAGGTGCCAAATAAATGAAGATGGTCTGAGAGGTCTGAGCCTGATGAGGCTTTGGAGGTGGAGGGGTTGCAGGTGGAAAAACGAATATTTGCAACATCCCAGCCTTTGCTTTATTCCCTCCAGAAGCCTCTGAGAGAGGGGGAGATGTCACAGGATGCGAGTGACCAAGGGAGACAAAACCCCCACAAGCATCCTTAGACCCTTGATTTCATTTTCTTTCTGCCAGCTACTTTTTAAATAATGATTACATTTAATACATTATCATCTCTTCCTAATTAGACCCCTGATTACCCAGCATGATGCCATTAAGCACTAATACTGTTCATCCCCCTCCTTTGGAGACATTCATTGTGCAGTAGCCTGTCATTATTCCGAGCTAAACATACCATTTCTCTCCCAGAAGCTGTAATTTTCAGAAATCCCAGGCAAACAAAGACATTGGTAGATGATGATTTAGCTTGTGGAGATGAAAAAAAGATCTCTGGTGGGAGGGGAAGAAGAGAGGAGGGAGAAAGAAATACCTCCAGTGGAGCTACTGGGAATAAAAATGTCACATTTTATGGTGCCACCAGGTCTGAAATCACCAGCCATCTGCAGTCTGTGGAACAAGGAGAAATAATAAATTTTCAGGGTTTATTTCAGGGCTCAGCTGCACGATTACTCAGCCTCTTACCCTTTTCCCTCTCCCCTCCTGGCTCATGTTTGTCTTTCCAACAGGAGGCTGGCCAAGTCCACTCTGCTGCTGATCCCTCTCTTTGGCATTCACTACATCATGTTTGCTTTCTTCCCTGACAATTTCAAAGCAGAAGTGAAGCTGGTCTTTGAGCTCGTGGTTGGGTCATTCCAGGTAAGCCACCATTTGGGTCACCAGGTTTGTCACCAGGGAGAAATGCAACAAGCTGGACATGGGTTTTTTCTGGGCATGCCCCATACTGCTCTCGTACCTTTGTGGAAAATCTACTCACTCCAGCCTGGCAAGGAGGAAAGATAAATTTATATTTTGCCGTCCAGAAGGAGATTCTCTTCCCTCATTTTAGGAAATGAAAAGAAAATATTCCTCTGTACATGGGTGTCTCTGTGGTTTTTCATACTTAAGGGAGAAAAATAAACAACTCAGTTCAGATTTTGTATTATTGACATGTCCAAGGCCAGAGTGGATGGGGCTCTGAGCAGCAAGTTTCATTCAGTGGGGAATTATTAACAACCCTGTCTGCATCATCATCACTGCACATCTGGCCTCTGGAAGTGTTCAAAAACTCTGCAGATGTGGCACTTGGGGACATGGGCCACTGGTGGACTTGGCTGTGCTGGGGGAATGGTTGGGCTTGATGACCTTAGAGGTCTTTTCCAACCTGAACACTTGTGTGGCTGTGTGATCTCTCCTTTGGGAGCTGAATGGCTCCACACTCTCTCCTTGTCTGCAGTGCTAAAATCCTGTTTTCTCCTTTCCCCAGGGGTTTGTGGTGGCTGTTCTGTACTGCTTTCTCAATGGAGAGGTAAGACCAGACCATCAGGGCTTTTTGGCTAATGTTTGCAGCTAGGACAGAATGAATGCATGTGGAGAGTGGATTGGGAAGTGTCCCATCCCTGATCCTGGTGTTACAATACTGGGGGGAAGCATCCAAATCACATCTCTCTCTCTCCAGGAAAACAATTCAAACATTTGCCTGACAGTTTTCAGCACAATTAATAACAATTAATAAACACATCAGGACTTGTGCTTGCACTGTAGCGTTGCTGCTGAGCCCATCCTCTCCTCATGAGACAGCATCAGCAGAGCTCCTGTGTGAACTTGCACAATCCCTGATCCCAAAGCAGCACCTTCAGCAGGGCAGGATAAATCCCATCTAAGTCCTTTTCATGCTCCAGGAATCCTCCCCAGGATCACACCCACTGCCAAAACCAGCACAGGCATTGGTGTGACTGCACAGAGCAGTGCAGGTGAACCTGTTTCTGCCTTGCAGGAATAATCTTGATTTAACCACATTTTAGTCCTGGCATTCTCATCCTGGCATGGTGCTGTTCCTGTGTTTGTTTTTCTCAGAGCCCTTCAGACACAGCTTTTCCATCTAATTCATGCTGTTACCTAAAAATTTGCACTGGAGGGCTGCAGGAGGGGACAAGGACAGTTCAGTCCAGGATTTGAATTGGGATGGCATAAACCAAGGTATTTCTGTAAACACTCTGAGCAGCAACAAGCAGCTTTTGTCAAAAAAAGCACAGCTGTACTGACAGATTTACAAACAAGCTGTAGTTAAATCATTTCTATTTGGACCAAAAACAGGGCAGTGAAAAAGAAAACATCTTAATTACACTCCCCAAGTGTTGTCATTGAAGTTAAGTAGTCTGGCACCTTGACTGTATCAATAAGAATATTCATTCTGATGAAGCTCAGGGATTTCTGCTCCAGTAATTTACTGACTGGAGTGTCCCCTTTATGTGGTTAAAAGTTCTGGCAAAGCCAAGTTCAGTGACTTTTATAAAGTAATTCTTGGCCCTGGGGTGGGTGGGTTACCCAAGGCTGCTCACATAATCAGGTCAGAATAGGCTGGGAATGGTGTGGCTGGGACAGAGCCCAGGCACAAAGGGACCTGGGGGTGCTGGTCAGCAGTGACTGACCATGAGCCAGCAGAGTGCCCTGGTGGCCAAGAAGGCCAAGGGCTCCTGGCCTGGCTCAGGAATGGTGTGGGCAGCAGGAGCAGGGAGGTCACTCTGGCCCTGCCCTGGGCACTGCTGGGGTCACACCTGGAGTGCTGTGCCCAGCTCTGGGCCCTCAGCTTGGGAAGGACCTGGGGACACTGAGCACATCCAGAGGGGACAAGGAGGCTGCAGAGGGGCTGGGAACACAAACCCTGTGAGGAAGCCCTGAGGGAGCTGGGGGTGCTCAGCCTGGAGCAAAGGAGACTCAGGGCTGCCCCCATCACTCTCTGCAGCTCCTGAAAGGTGCCTGTGCTCAGCTGGCCCTGGGCTCTTTCTGCAGCAGCACTGACACAACCAGAGCACACAGTTATCGGAAATCAAAATGACCCCCGTGGCAGGGAGAAAGGACCAGGAGGACTCCACTGATATCAGGAGGCTAATTAATTACTTTTTTATACTATATTATTCTATACTATATTACACAACATCTAAACTGAATCTGCACAAGCACTCAACTCAACTGCACAGCAGCTGGTGACTGTCAGTGACAGTCCCCACACACACACCTGGATTCAATTGGTCAGTGAATCAAAACACACCAGAATCCAATTACCAATTCCCTTCAGGTAAACAATCTTCCACAACACATTCCACTTGTGAACAAGAGGAGCAGCAATTGAGATAAGAATTGTTTTTTTCTTTCTCTGAGGTTCCTCACTGCAATTCCCAGGAATGTCCTTGGGAAGTTGTGCCTTGCTTTTCCCTGTGAAGAGAAATGTGGCCACACACAGTCTCAAGCTGCACTAAGGGAAATTTAGGTTGGGTATTAGGAAAAAGTGATAAAAGAGTGATAAAGTTCTGGAATGGCTGCCCGGGGAAGTGGTGGAGTCCTCATCCCTGGGTGTGTTTAACAAAGCCTGGATGTGGCACTGGGGGCCAGGGTTCAGTTGAGGTGCTGGGGCTGGGTTGGACTCGATGACCTTGAAGGTCTCTTCCATCCTGGTCACTCTGTGAATTCTGTGAACACCAAGTGATGCCCTGTGCTGCCTTTTCTCTTTCCCATGCCCAGGTGCAAGCTGAGCTCAAGAGGAAGTGGCGGAGGTGGCACCTGGAGCGGTTCCTGGGCTCGGACATGAAGTACCACCACCCTTCCCTGGGCAGCAACGGCACCAACTTCAGCACCCAGATCTCCATGCTGACCAAGTGCTCGCCAAAGACGCGCCGCTGCTCCGGCTTCCAGGCCGAGTTCTCCCTGGTGTGAGAGGCTCCCCAGGCACTGAGCATCCCAAACTGAGACACGAGGATCCCCGGGGATCAGTGATCCCATGACAAACCCCTGTGAAATGACCTGCTCCGCATGAGCCAACAGAGGACACACAACTGGAAAAGCCGCTGGCGTCCAGGATGAGATCGGACGAGCCAAGAGGCAGAGGAACACTTTTGCTCTTGCTCTTTTCAGGCCTTTCACTCTTCAGTTTCAAGCCCTCAGGGATTGATAACTCTGAGGAATTGTCCAGCTTAAGCTTCAGTTTCAAGCCCTCAGGGATTGATAACTCTGAGGAATTGTCCAACTTGCTTGAGGACAGCCTGGGAGATGCTGGTGTGTCATAAATAATGTACTGGGGGGTAAGGGAGGGAGAGCCTCAGTCCTTGGTGGCTTTACCAGAACTGGCATCTCTCAAACAGACAAATTGCACTTTTTTTTTTAAAAATGAGCCAGTAAAGGAGAGACAGAGGCAGGAAGCAGGAAAAAACAAAACCACCAAACATATGAATGTGCCAAAATTCCTGTGGATAAGAGATGATGATACAGCACCAAAGATGGTGCTGGGGACACGGGGAGAAGGGACAGGAGGAACAGGAGCAGGAAGGGAGAGGCCAGCACATGGCCCCCATGTTTTACACAGGTGGAGATGAAGCTGCAGCACCAGGAGAGCCCCTCAGAGGATGCCCCAGTGTGTTCTGCTATTTCCCCACCACCCTTGGGAGCAGAAGCTTTCCAGGAACCCTGTGGAAGAGCAGATCACTGAGGAGGAGCAGCGTGAGCACCTTCTCTGCACTGTGTTGGTGACATGGTGTTTTGCTTGGTTGTGTTCCATGAACAGGAAACTCGATTTGCATGTATAAAAAGCAGGGCCAGATGACAAAAGCAGAGCATGGCTGTGTTTTTTTCATTCTCTCGAAGTTGTCCCATAGATCTCGGGGCATGGATGCACCCAGGATCATTAGGGATCAGGGGGAAATAATTGAGCTGTAATTCATTTGCACTTGCTTAGCACACACTGTCAGGAAAGGGAAATATAGGGCCCTGTAATCCTTAATTGAGTCAGAGCTGCCATAAGGAGCCACTCTCCAGATGAAAAAAATTCCTGTCACAGCAGCAGGTGAAATTGCTTTCATCAGGACAAGGTTGTCTCAGCACACAACTGGCACTCCAGGAGGGAGGAAGGAGTGCAGGAGCTATTAAATGGATTTCTTCTTCAGCTTTTCTGGGGAGCTTTCATCCTCTAGGAAGGCATTGTTAGATATTTAAGATTTGTGTGTGCATTTTACCTCTTTTCTGAAGGCCTGTTAGTTTCCATACAGGGACAATTCCTACTTGAAGAATGCACATGGATCCCATTAAAACCAAGGGAGTAGGAGTTTTTTTTTTAATTCTTGTTTTCGTGGTGGAGAGGAAAAGGAGAAATGCTAAAGCCCAGTCCTGCTCATCTGAGACAACCCACAATCCCAAACTCAGTCAGAAGACACAAAATTCAGGGATAGAGATGCTCATGTTTGTGTTCCACTCAACTGCATCAAGTGGGGTTGAAAAAGTTTCATGCTGAGGGTGGAAAATCCCTGCCCAGCTCATGAGTACCCTCAGTAACTGGGCTGCTCCCATTCTACTAAATCATGTCCTCAGGAAGGAGTGTCTGGGTCACCACCACAGGCACCTGGAGAGGGAGGTGAGCTCCTCTTTTAGAGCTCAGAGATCTCTCTAGCTGCTTCATTTCTCCACAATGAAATGTAGTTCAATGGAGGGAAGCACCTGCAGCCTGGTGGGGTTGGGGGTTGTTGGCCTTGAGCAAAGGGTGCCAACAAACCACACAAATCACAGGAGGAGACCTGCAGATCCAGCTCCTTTCTGAGTCCTGACAGGGCAGTGTTCCATGCTATTCCATTCCAGAGCCTGTTATCAGCTGAGCTGGGCGCTCCCAAAGTATTTATCCAGGAGGGGGGCTGGAGTCAGTAAAGGGCCATGAGGAACTGATCCACCAAGGGCAAACATGCAGTCCTGAGTTTGCAGGGAGCCAGCTCAGATCCTGGCACATGGCTACCCAGCCTGTGGGTCCTAAAACATTAGGAAGACATGAAAATTCCTGGAATTACAGTGCTGGTGATTCCAGGCTGGCCAGTGTGAGCCAGCTCTGTTATGACTACTTTGCACTGAGCCCACATCAACAGTGAGGATCCAACTCTGACATGCCATAAGATCATCAAAATGCAGCTCCCTGATTCCCAAAATGCAGAGAAAACAAGAGGATGCTCAAAATTTCCCCACTTTTCTTGCATTGAAGCCTTTATGCCTTGACAACCCTCAAACAATATCCCATTGAAACCCACAATATTTTCAGAGGCAAGAACCTTTGAAGTGGTCCTGGTCAGAGTTCAAGAAGAGTTTGGACAGTGCTCTCAGGCATTTGGGGTTGTCCTGTGCAGGACCTGGAGTTGGACTCAATGATCCTTGTGGGTCCCTTCTGACTCAGGATATTCTGTGACTCTCTTTGTGTTTGGTGCTTGTGTTGCTCTGCTGAGTTTTCAGGTCTGAATTTTCAGACCTGGATTAGGACTCACCCAGGAAATACTGGAGAAATCCCACCAGTGCCACCAGTTCTGCTGCTGTGCCTGGTTCAAAGCAAGGATTTGACCTGCATTTTTCCAGGTGAATGACTAACTTCAAGGAAGCCCAGAAAAAGCAAGGGAAAATTCAGTCTCAGCTTCCCAGTTGTTCCACTTGGTGTGAAATGTGTCGCTGGTTCAGAGTTTTGAAGCAATGTCAGTCTGGGAAAGATTGGATCCACCAGACTGCAAAGCAATTCTCCCTGTTCATCTGTCATGGTAAATATTTATGCCCAACAAAACTGATGGGCTGCAGAGGAGCACTGCCCAGTCTTGGGAATGCATCCACTGTGGTATGAACTGGAATTTCAGGTCCCAGCCAAGCATCAGAGGAGCTGGAGCACAGAGCTGTGGAGCAGAAGTGCAGCACCACTGCCAGCAGCCTCCTTTGTGGGATGTGAGGGAATCCCTTCCCATCTGTTCCAGGCAGCCTTGCTGGGGGGAAAGCCTGTGAGCCATCCTGAGACACACTGAGCATTTTCCCTCTGCTCTTCACCTTCCCTTTCCTCTCTCCCTGTGCTCCCCTTTCCCTCCCCATTCGCAGGAGGAAATTTGTGTTTGCAGCTTTTCCTGTGTCCCAGCCCTGTGCTAACCCAAGCCAGCACCAGTCATATGCCAAAGACAGCCAGGAAAGGTTTGCCTTTTGGAGATGTGACAGGGGAAAACCCCAGCTGGATATTTACCCTCACCACAGGCTCCTCTGCAGCCTGTCACGTTCCCCACCACGCTGTTCTGCACTGGAACCTGAAGATGGGATCTTCCCTAAGCTGAGGGGCTCCTTCAAAAAGTGTGGAGTACATCAGCATGCCAGAGCTGTGCCCCCAGGCACCCTGCTCACAATTATTTCATCCCTGAACATCCAGCCTTGCCTCCTTTCTGCTGTCAGGGGTGTTTGAGGGGTTAAGTGAACCTGCTGAATGGACCTGCTGTGACAGGCATGGCAATGTCAGCACGACAGAGCTGCCAGCCCAGCTGTGTTCCAGGAAAACAGAGGAGCTGGGGGTGAAATCACTTTATAAAGAGAGAAATCTTTTCACTCTGGGGACGTGAGCAATCAAGTGAGTGATGACATTGGGATTGGGCCCTGTTTGACTGGCTCAGTGCTGGAATTTGGCTCCACAACTTGGCCTGGTCTACTCTGGTTTTCATCCAGCTCATCAATAAAATGGAATTCAAGGACTTCACTGCAGATGACAGCGTGGACTGAGCTGTCCTGGCCCCACTCAGAGCACAGAACAGAGCTCAGCACTTTTGCTGCTCCCCCTGCTCCAGCCTGACCCCAAAACTGACCCCAGCAGGACAAATGCATCCATTTGCTGCATCAAAGATCAGAGGTGTGCCTCTTGAAATGTATTAAAGGAGAAAAGGAGACTCAGGGCTGCCCCCATCACTCTCTGCAGCTCCTGAAAGGTGCCTGTGCTCAGCTGGCCCTGGGCTCTTTCTGCAGCAGCACTGACACAACCAGAGCACACAGCCTCGAGCTGCACCAGGGGAAATACAGGTTGGATAGCAGGGAAAAGTTTTTCACAGGAAGAGTGAGAAAGTTCTGGAATGGCTGCCCAGGGAGGTGGTGGAGTCCCCATGCCTGGGTGTGTTTAACAAAGCCTGGATGTGGCACTGGGGGCCAGGGTTTGGTTGAGCTGTTGGGGCTGGGTTGGACTCCATGATCCTGAAGGTCTCTTCCAACCTGGTCATTCTGTGAAAACTTCTTTTGCCTCTGTCAAAAGGCACAGATGTGCTTGAGGATCATGAATTGGGCTCCAAAACTCTTTATAGAAATAAAGCCAAATTCTGATCCTGCTTGCACCAATCAGCTCACGGCAGTGACTCCTGAATTACACCAGCATTAAACTGGGATTGGCCTTCAAAATAATTCCTTTTTCTTCATTCTGGAGATGCTTACTCCCTTTTTACATCAGGGATAGAGCAAGCCCCTCCTGTTCTATACTTCAGGGATTGAATTATTAAATTTATTCATAAGTATAGAAAAATTAAAACATAAACAGTAAATTATTGTCAAGGTCCAGAGGTAGCAGGTTCAATGCTGACATTAGACTGTAGATATTTCTGTTCAGCTGGGTCCTGTGTTGCTTTGTGACCCTCTCACAAACAGCAAGAAATGAAAATATGACCATGTTTAGGGTTTAGAAAATAAATTCTTGCAGAATTTTAGGGGCATTAAAATCAAACAAATTTTTAAAATCAGAGTTATGAATGCAGGAGCAGCAGCATTACTGCAGTTGTGGAATGAAAAGCAGAAAAGGCCAGAAGCTGAAAGATCTGAGGATTTTGTTTTATTTTTGGTTTGTTTGGGGTTTTTTGCTAGGAAACAAGTAATGTTTTTCTCCAGGAAGGTGTTGCTGGAGAAAAGATATTTTA